AATACTGAGGAACTGTAATTTCGCGAGCTGTGACGAACGAACCCTTTTCAATAATTCAGTAATTTGCGACATTGGCTCTGAAATTTCCCCGCCCAGTACTCGAAATTTTGAAAACGTGGGAAAACTTGGTAAGGCACTTTGGAACCGCGCGTCGAAATCGACGTCTTGTTTTGTACAGGCGAATCAATCCTCGAGCCACTAGTCTCGACAAGAATTCACACGCCATCATCTGATTATCGCACATGTATATCAGAGAGGAAGTAAGCAATTCGCGTACCGATAGGAAACCCTGTTTGTTTTTCTCTGGCTGTAATTTATCAATATGTTGATGTCTTTAAGCACTTGATATGTTGTGTGACAGACACTTTCAGAATGACTGCAAAATGAACATGGTTGCCAATATATATGATGGATAGGAATTAACGAATGAAAAGCAGTGTTTTATCTAAGTTATACTCGAGCTTGACAACAGACAAAGATTATTCTTTCCGGATTAATTTTGCCATGAGTACAAGAAACATTGTTTGAATGGCAATAAACCATTAAGGTACTTGAGGACGCGTTTCACTCAAATACCGCGCAAACCATCTGGCTCACGAAACACGTTGCAAAGTGGCATAGATAAAAACGTGTTCTTTCAACGAAAACGCGTGCTTATGTTGCCGTAGGAATAAGTATTTTCCGATAAACGTTTGGATATTTAAGTATACATCTAGCTCGCTGCAGGTAGCCATCCACCCACGAGAGACTAACACCTTGGCAACTATATAGTTTATACACTACGTCCTACCTACGATGTACTTGTATACAATGTTTTGTTCGTTTCTACCACGCTTAGCGCAGCCTGCCCACATATACACTGCAAACCCTACAATTCCCAAGTTTATACTACACATATGCAAATAATTACAAAGTCCAAGCCTCAAAAATAAATAAGACCTATTACTCATAACTGTTGACGTATACGAGATTAGATTAAAATTTTCTGCTTAGACGAAACAGTGCGAGCTTTGGCGAGGATTTTGAAGGCGAAAACATGGCTTTGGCGACCATTCTTGATTGTAAAAACCTTGTTGTAATAAGCCATGTGCCTCTTTGACAAACATAATATACGTATAGGGAGTTATTGTGCTCCAAAGACCTCCCTCGCTTTACGCCAGTGTAATTACCATATACAATTGAATAGATTGTCGCTCGCAACACGTGTCTTATAGCTTTACTAAGCGGCAAGCGTAAACAGCCAAGCAATAATCCTGAAGGCGAATTCTAATCCTATAGTTTTAATACCACTTTATCGGGCACCGATATTTTCGAGTGCTGGTTTTGCAAGCGAGTTTCTCGCGCAGACAGCTGCTCACACTTAGCCTATTTTTTTCACGCTTGTTGGTCTGTATAATTGTTTGATGCATCGCTGTATTGATCCGTGACAGGACAAGACACTCTATCCTTTTGCATTTAAAGGTTTGGGCCATAACTTTCAGATTAATCGAAGGTCTACATCACGACCACAAAAACCGCAGCATTTAATTCGAGCTGCTAGAAAAGAAAATAACTTCATTGTTTTAACGACTGCGAATTAAGGTTAGCGTACCCGAACGAATGTACTCGTTGAAATAAATTGACATGTACTAAAAGAAAATTGACATCTAGCAAAAATTGGGCACAAATTTGCATGCAAAATCATTAAAGTTTCAAGAGCAAAACTTAGCTGTCCAAATGCCTGCCATCTGCACAAGAAGTATGACTCGAGTAAATAAAAAAAAATCCGCATAAAGATGCGTTTATACTGCGTTACCAACCAGACAATATGCTCAATATTATTCGCAAAAAGGATTGGTAAAATTCGCGAACTAATCGCTTAAATTCTAACTAGCCATTAAACAAAACGAATAAAGAGCACTTACCAGCCACCAGAATTTGAAATGCATCGAGATCGGATTCTGAAAGCCAGATCTTGTAGTATTTATCGTGTCCGGGATGTGAAATGTATCTTTCCCCAAGACAGGGGTCGTGGCATTCCCTAGGGTACATCCACCATTCTCTTGCACTTCATCTTGATAATGTTGTAGGCATATCCGAAAAAAAGTGTCGCAATTGTCCGTTTGGCATCGATTCGACCCGTGAATGAATGAGCGCGAGCCATCGCAACAAGACCCGTCACTTTTAACTCCTTCGATATTTTTAATTTCGAGTAAACGTACTTGAAATTGCCCGAGTCCGGATACATTCTAGAGGAAATTGAAATAAAATTGTGGATGAGTGTTGCGCGAGTCTTTGAATGTTGTCAGATGAACGACGGCCGTGTGCCTGAATATCGAACGGTCACACGAACCAACCTGTAATAATACGCTGAGAATATAATAAATAAATAGGCCAGCATGAAAGGCCATTGCAACACTTAGGTCATAGAGTAATCCGTTGCACTGCAGCTCCCCTATCCAACAGTAACATATAAGATCCCAATTGATTGTAGCCTATCTACCCCGCTCCGCAGTTCAATCCTTACGCGGCGACGAGATCTCAATTAAACTTTTTGTCATACAGTGGCATCTAAACGACATGCGTAATTACCACCGTGACGTAGCCACTTTTAAAAACTTTCGAAATAACACAAGCGCACTCGGAACGCGCGACAACTTGCACCAAGTCTTGCACCTGTGTTAGAAAAATAGACCACTTGCTCCAAGGCATTTATACGGTGTCATAAATCTCCCCACCAAATCACGGGTTCTAACATTGTGTCGAAATTGGAGAAACAAATAATACCTTAGAGCAATTTTAAACCTTGTAAATCGCCATGGTTACAGATGGCTGACGAATGATAGCTGTTAAAAATCAAGTAGTTTCGGGGCTTGGGGGATGAGAAATAGGCGCGCAAGCGGGCTACAATCTTTGTTCGAATGCTAATGCGTGCAAGTAAGAATTTTTTGCCGTGAACTACAAATTTCGTGTAAATACGCACACAGTTTGTTTTGATCATTTTTGGCGGGATTAAAGGCATTGTCTTTAATAATACGCGCGCACGTGTCGCGAACCTACAAACCGCTACGTCTGTCTACTCGAGCGAAACGGAACGATTGAACAGTGAATGAGTTCCCTAAGGAAGATGTTTGCTGTGATTACAAGCTTTTACAAAGCTGTCAATTTCACACTCTGATCTAACTTTAATTGTCCAGATCCCGGGCAGCATTTAAGACGTTTAACGCAAACCTGTGCCGTGGTTTCGTGTGACGGTAGTTGATCGTTTGAGCGAATGTTGCCGAGTTGCTGCCCGTTGGACAGCAGAGATAGGTTGCGAATTACTTGGCTTAATTGAAACTAATCATTGTGTGCCTGTCAAGCGCGATGGGTGGCGAAAATGTTACGAATAACGAAAGAAAAAGACCTAAATATATTTAAAGAAACAATACGGCATGCAAAAGAAAACATTTCGATTTCATTCCGACTTCCAAACACGGAATTTTTGTTTCTCTTTCCCATTGAAACGCGATACCTAGTCGTAATAATCGATGCACGTGTCGCTATCGTTTATTAATAAAATGAGAAAGACGGCTCCTAAATAAATCTAAGATTAATTTATGCACAAGTAAAACAAATAACCCTTCAATGTGAGTGCAATTTTATTTGCTTCTGTTTGCAATGGTATTAAAGATAGCACAAAGTCCAATTCAAAATCACTGCACAAAGGCAACCGAATTCTAAGATTTGTGGCTGCTATCATTTTGCTGCCAAAAACGCGCAAAACTTGAAGGCCATTTTGCAGTAAAAACAAAACACTTTTCGGGCATTGTCTCCAAGGCGCAGGTGTTAATTTCAAAAATTTCCAAACCATAAGCAGATCTTGGCGAAACACCTTCTCGAGCGATGCCGAATTGTTCGTTCGGCTGTTGGCCAGGAGTTGAATACTTTCGCGCCCTTAAAAAAAGCGCCGAGCCGAAAAACGCGCGCGTTTGTTGACGCAGAGATTGTTAGGATTTATTCATGCAATTATAAGCCTCTCTAGTTATTGATTACGGGGCTAGGCTTTTTGTATACGAGCTCTATATCAATCGATCTCACACGCAGCTGCTCATATGGAACGAGTATAAACAAATAAAGTCTACTTCCCCACAAGCCCAAAACTCAGTTTCAAAAAAGGCAGCGCAAATTTTACTTTATTATATCAACTATAATACGAATTCATTTTCAGGATGTGCAAATGAGCAAATGCCTAAAATCGTATGGTTTTTAAATTAGTACGAATTCGAAATGAGTTTATTGTCCGACTCAAGACGATTTATTACCGAAGCCAGCTAGGCGCCAGTTATGGCAGCTGTAATTTAGAGCGTAGTTTTCACTCGAGTTCTGAAATGATTTAATAGTCTCGTGTTTCACGTTAAATGTTTCGGCATTTTTCTCAGTGTTTTTCATGTGACATCAAACTATGACAAATGGAGAACATTTTTAGCACGCATTAAAACTAAATTTTTAAAGCTCCGTATATAGTGTTTTAAAAGGTTTTGACTTGGACTTTTCTGGTTTGATTAAAATTGAATGATTAAAGTGTATATCAAATTAATTAATATCTTAATTTATGTTTTGTTAGAGAGAACAGTCTAGTCAAAGAATACAGTCCAGCTTTGCATTTGATTGTGTTCTATCTGCTTAGCCTATTTGCAAGAAGTCTATCTGAGTTGTATTTTAAAAATATCTTTATTAATGCACGGTAGAAGCAAATGCTACAAAAGCATTGGTGTCAAAAAGGGCTTGTAGTTGAACTTCACCAAACACCATTGCAATTTTCTCCTGTATGTAAAAAAATATTATGTATCCTGACCCCGGATGACTTAAATAAGTTCTAAACCTAACTATACCTCTAAGACGAATAGTCTTGAACTGATAGACAGTATGCAGCGTTTAGTTCAATTGATTTCATATTTGGTCTTAAGTTTGTCTTTTCTAAAGTTTGAACTAACTTGTCATCAAGCTCCGTCGCAGGGACTTTCCAATTGCCATTGGCATGAAATTGATGCGGAGGGAAGAGATCTGTGAGAAATGGAAAGGGAGGAATGCAGAAGAATAAGAGAAAGGAAGAATGAAAGATGGGAGAAATGTTGACAGAAGGATACAGGCAAGATAGGAAGAAATGAAGGGAGAGGGAGGAAGGAAGAGAAGATAAGAAGGAATGGGATAACAGAAAGGAAGGGAGGGAGGTGGGAGAAAGAATAGGATGAAAGAAGGGGGGGAGGAAGATAGAATGAAGGGAGGAGTGGGATGACAAAAACTAGGAGGGGGGAAGAGGAAGGAAAGAAAGGAGGAAATGGGAGGAGGAAGGTTGGGGAAAGAAAGAATAGGATGAACGGAGAGGAAACAGAGGAAGGAAAGAAAGAAAGGAGGAGTGGATGGTAGGAGAGAGGTGGGAAAAAAAAGAATATGATGAAAGAAAGGAGGGAGAAAGAGGAAGGAGGGAAAGAAGAGTGGAGGCCTGAGGGAATGGGAGGTGGGAGAAAGAAAGAATAGGATGAAAGAGAGGAGAGAGGAAAGAGGAAGGGAAGAAGGGAGGAGGAAATAGGAGGAGGGAGGTGGGAGAAAGAAAGAATAGGATGAAAGAGAGGAGAGGGAAAGAGGAAGGAAAGAAAGGAGGGGAGCAGGATGAATATGAGAGGAAGTTTAAAAGAAAAGATGAAGAAAGAAACAAAGGAAGAAGGAAGGGAGACAGAAAAAATATAAGGAAAGGAGTGCAACAAAAAGGACGAAAATGAAATGAATAAAAACATGGAAATGGAATAAAAGAAAGGAGAAAAAAAAATAGAAGCCGGTATGAAACTGCCTTTTTCATGCGAGCAAATGAAGTTCTTCCCTTTCAATATCCGAACGGGAAATTTGTATATTTAGAGATTATTATCGTTTAACATAGTAGCTTCCGTTGTTCAATATTGTGTAGTTTGTAAAGCTTTTTTCAGTAGTAACAGGTGTAGTTACGACATAAACCACGGCAGTTTATTGTAGAATACAACCAACACTGGGCCACCATAGTTTACTGTATAAAGTAAAAATGAAACTCTTAAGAAAAATCAACAAAAATCAAAGAGGGCATCCAGGGTCATCTATACTTGGAGATAAAATTGATAGTCATGCACTGTTGTACAAACTACCTCAAAATAGATTACGTAAAAGTCGAATATACCTTTGGAATGTACAATGCAGCAAGTGTTTAATTAATTACATAACCATGCGGCATTTACACGAGTTTCTTTCACACACACACCTAACCGCATGTCAAGTGGTTCTCGAGTGTAGTTGAAAATTCGTTGTATTCCTATTCTTAGCAAAACTAGCAGACCATATCTCGTAACATGCTCAACATTATAACGACATATCTCGTAACATGCTCAACATTATACTTTTCACTCAGAATTTGATCATGATGGTAACTTACAGAGTAAGCATTTCAGTACACTTCAGGAATGTGGACACTTACGGCAATAAAAAAATTACAATCATCATACGACCATTACAAAGTCAAAGAAAGAATTAACATTATTTTCTCACTCTGATATAAACAGGTTGACCGCCATCTGCTCATGACGATAGTGCCTAGTGAAACCAACATCAACCATGTTGTGAAAATATGGAATGACTTGAAAAGATTTAGAAATGACTAAATGTTTAAATGGCAAATCAAGGACCTCCAAACTTTAACAATGTTAATTAAATCAAGTAAAGCAATAGCACAGTAGCATGACAGCAGGTTGTAGACTGTTCTGGATTTTGACAGGCATTTTTGATAGGTATTTTGGCATTGTAAGTTGTAAGTACATAAACATGTGTCGGTCTGACTGAAGTAAGCAATGAAGCGTGCTGTTGTAAACACTGAACTCAACTGAACTGGATTGCACGGCCAGGTCTGGAATGAGTTTAGGACTGAGCCTGGGTAC